TAGCGTCGGCACTGGGTTGATCAAGTGGCATGGTTAGCCAAAATTATATGCTATTTCGTACTGTATTAAAAACAAAAAAATATATGTGTGAAAGAAAATATAAAGTCATAATATATTACAAATGTATTTATATTCTTTTATTTTTAAAATTAAATTAAAAATATACTACTGTAAATAAATTTCTTCGTAATTACTTTACTATGTAACTTTCAAATGTGGTTAGTGACGGCAACCAAGTGAACGCTTTATCCAGACACGTATTTACACCGTACGTTGTATACCGTTTCCCGCATACAATTCAATTAGTATTCCTAGAGAAATCTTAGGAACCCCTCAACGTGCAGAGAAAAGGTGGAAAAAGAAAGGGGATGAATATGATGAAGATGGATAGGAGGAGGATGAATAGGAGGAAAATGAATAGAAAGAGGAATAGGTGGAGGGGGAGAAGAAGGAGGACGAAAAAGAGGTGGAGGAATATGAAGGGAAAAGGAGGGGGAAGAGAAGGAGGAGGAGCGCGAGGAGTAGTAGAAGGATGAGGAGAAGAAGAAGAAGAAGAAGAAGAAGCAGGTGAGGAGGAGGAGGAATATGAGGGGGAAGAGGAGAGGGAAGACCAGTAAGAGGAGGGTGAGAAGGAGGAAAAGAGGAAGTGGGAGGTGAAGGAAGAAAAAAGGAAATAGGAGGAGGAGGAGGTGGAGGAGGAGGAGGAGGTGGAGGAGGAGGAGGAGGAGAAGAAGGAGGAGGAAGAGGAAGATGGCGGGGAGGAAAAGTAGGAGAACGAGGAGATGAAGAGGAGGATGAGAGGGAGAAGCGGGAGGAGAAGGTTGAGAAGGAATAGGAGGGGAAAGAGGAGGACAAGAAAAAAATTGAGAAGCCGAAGAATGAGAATAAGAAGAATGAGACGAAGCAGCAAAAGAAGAAGAGTATGCGGCACTCACCGTTGTTGCGTCGGCAGGGGGGCAGCGGCGGCGGCGGCTGCTGCTGGGCGCGGCGCTGCTGGCGGCGGTAGCGCCACACGCGCAGGCGCTTGGCCGCGCGCCGCTTGGCCCGCCGCCACAGGTGCGCCACGTACTTGACGATCTCGGCGTAGCACGACGTGGGCTCCGAGTTGTTGGTGGACGAGGCCAGCGTCGAGGTGGAGCGGAAGCGCTCGCGCTCCAGGCGCATGCGCTCCATCTCGCGCTTCTTCGTCTCCGAGAACTGCGTCGCGATCACCACCAGGCACAGGTTGATCATGAAGAACGAGCCGATCTGCGCAACGCACAACCACTCCTTGCATTCCCAACAGGTGAATCGCCAGTGGATGAAGTGATGAGTGGGAAGTGAGAGAGTGAACGGATCGGTGTGTAAATAAGTGAGTGTGTGAACGGGTGAGCTTGTGAACGGGAGAGCGAGTGAACGGTTAAGCGTGTGAACGGGAGATCGGGTGAACGCGTGAGCGTGTGAACGTGTGAGCGTGTGAACGGATCAGTATGTGAATGAGTGAGAATATGAAGATGTGTGTGAACGAGTGTGTGTACGGTGAGAGAGTGAAGAGGGGAGTGTGTGAACGGGTGAGAGTGTAAATGAGTAAGTGTGTGTGCGGGTGAGTGGGTGAAGGTGTGTATGTATTTGTTTGTGTGTGATCTGGAGAGTATGTGAACGAGAGAGCGTGTGAACGCATTAGTGTGTGAGCGGGAGTATGTGTGATTGGGTGCGTGTGAACGAATGGGTGTGTGAACGTCAGTATATAAATGCGAGATCATGTGAACGGGTGAGCGTGTGAACACGTGTGTGTGTGTGTGTGAACAGGTAACTATGTGAGTGGGTGAGTGAGTTAACAATTGAGTGTGTGAAAGGGACGGTGAGTGAACGAGTGAGGAAATACACGAGTGGGTTAGCGGTTGAGTGGATGGGCGGGTGAGCGCATGAATGAGTGTAGAATGCGTGAACGAGAAAGTAGATTATTGAATATTAGTTAATCCTGGCGGAAATAAACTAATACTTTAGCAAAAGAAGTATTAACGCGCTCTGAAATCAAGTTTTAAAATATAAAAACATGTGGTTTGTTATTTTTTAGAGATGGATCTATTCTCGAAATATTGGCATCGAAATAATAGTAATGAATTGTTTTATTATTTCTACTACAACGTACTGAATTTTATTCATTTTGTGGCCGGTTGAAAGCCGGATCATGATTAAAGTTAAAAAAATCATGCTGATCACGATAATAAACTTGGGCAATAATTATCGTGCCTAATAAAATATAAATGAAACACAAATAAATAATACCAAATTAACAAATAATTCAAATTGTAAGTTTTTTTTAAAGTTTAAAACCCACATATTCAATAATCTAAAAATTATATAAGACTAAATATCTCTTGACTTTTGCTTTAGAAGAACATAATTAATGTAAACGTTTGACTTCGGACTTCTTGCTTGTAGAACCTACGACGACATGCGTAGTTCTGTCTAAATATTTTAAGTACAGAAGACATTTATTCGTGTCATTACCAAATAATTACGTACTACATGAACTAAATAAATAAAGTGTTGATACTGTTGATTGCTCAATTTGTTTCAGCATAACATTATTAAAATGAATTCTAATTTTAGAAATCAATTTTAGGCATGTTCTAACATTGAAAGCGTGGAGTTTAAAGAGAATCTGGCTCAGGAGAAAGCTGGAAGAGGTCTACGTACCACGATGAGTAGCACAAAGTAGATCCAGTCCCAGAAGGAGTGCGCGTCTTGGACGTAGTACATGATGTCCGTCCACCCCTCCAGGCTGATGACCTAGAACAGCGGGCGGCGCGCGCGCGGCCGTGAGGACGAAGGCCCTCATCGGGGAGGGACGAGACGACACAATCATCATTTCAACATCAAAGATTCCCAACATTGAGTGTTTGATAAGGGTCATTAGACACAATGACCATTCAAACATCAAAGCTTTCCGACATTGAGTGATCGGTAGTAGCCATTACGACAAAATCGTCATTCAAACATTTGGAGATCGGTAAGGGCCATTACGACACAATCATCATTCCAACATCAAAACTTTCAGTCTTTAAGACTTGGAATTCTCGGCGAAGTAAATGTATGCATTGTGGGCGCAGTCCTAGAAGGCAAAAGTTATAGAGCTATTGAGATAACGATGATAAATTGGAGTGTATTTTGTAATCTGTATAGTCTCTCATTAAGACATGTTTGCAATAATAGTAAAAATTGCAAAATAGTTGTTTTTTATTATATTTGGCAACGAAATAATAACATTTAAAATGTTTTAATCTTAATATATAATGCATGCATAAAAGAGCAGTAAACTCGAATGATTGGCATACTCTAAAATGGTCTGAATTGTAAACTCCAAAGAAAATACTTCTTTTAGCATTTTAAATACATTCCCAATTCGATGTACGTTATTAGAAATGAAATATAACACCACGTTATTTTGCGTAAAAAGTTTACACGATTACGGATCATTCGTCATCTCATTTGGTTCCACCGACAAAACTCTTTCACAAAATTCCATCGGAAGCATTCTAACGGCTGCGAGCGTTACGTATTGTTCCTGCTGGGGATGCGTGGCTTTGCGAGCGCCCCACGTGAGCCCTTTCTTGGGCTGAAAGCTTTGACGTTGACGCGTTGCACTCCCGGGCCCGTACGAGGCGCCCAGCCTGTGCCAATATGACAGCTGCGGCAACTGACACGCTGAAAATCATCTGATTACGCTCCCACGCCCCCCCCGCCCCCGCCCCCCGCCCGCCCCTGCCCGATGAGGCGCTGGCGCCAAGGGGCAGACGCCGAAAGGCGACGGGCCGAAATGCGGCAGCAGCAGGTGGACAGATTGCAGATAGGGTAACATGTTGAATGCGTTAAATGGATGGGATTATAGAAATTTAATATTTTGTAATACTAGGAAAATTTTGAATCTCCTTCATCTCTACTCCTAAATAACGAATAATAATAATAATAATAATATAACAACAACAACAATAATTAATAATTATGTTAATCCCAAAATGTATAACACGTTTCTATCAGATTTGCTTTTATTTCCCCTATCCTGTAATTCAGGAAGCAATGCTATCTGAAACCATTGTTCGTTATTGATATATGATTTATAATCGCAATGATGCTTTCTGTATTAGAAAAGATAATAAAAGCAAACCTATAAGATACGTGTTATTAGGTTATTCATATGACTTGCTATTGTTATTTACTAATACTAGGAAATTATATGCCCTTTGTGTAAACCTAGCTTCTTGAAGTGTCAAATTTATTTACAAAATTTAATACAAGAATTCGCAAATTGAATAATTAAAAATGGCTACTAGGTCAGTTTTGTTCGGGGACCGGTTATTTAAAACACTTGTTTTACACAGCAACGAAAATTCTTAACTTAGTACTGCAGAGAAGGAAGGAAATGTCTTCTGCAGCCACGCAATTGCATCCATTGCAATTGCATCCATTGCAATTGCATCCATTGCAATTGCATCCATTGTAATTGTAATCCCCTTATGCAATTGCATTGGATAAGGCAATGTAAAGCAGCTTGAAGGTGGCAGAGGATGAAAGAATAAATAGTATATGACTTCTGCAGCCACGCAATGGCATCCATTGCAATTGCAATCCCCACATGCAATTGCAATGGAAAAGGAAATGTAAAGCAGCTTAACGGTAGGAGAGGATGAATGAAGTAAATAGTAAATGGCTTCTGCAGCCACGCAATGGCATCCATTGCAATTGCAATCCTCACATGCAATTGCAATGGAAAAGGAAATGTAAAGCAGCTTAACGGTAGGAGTGTATGAATGAAGTAAATAGTAAATGGCTTCTGCAGCCGCGCAATGGCATCCATTGCAATTGCAATCCCCACATGCAATTGCAATGGATGAGGTAATGTAAAGTAGCTTTAATGTGGGAGAGGATGCAGGAAGAAAATGGCTTCTGCAGCCACACATTGCCACAATTGCAATCCCCTTATGCAATTGCAATGGATAAGGCAATGTAAAGTAGCTTTAATGTGGGAGAGGATGCAGAGCAGCAACCGCACCCACCAGGAAGATGGCGACCCAGGCGAGGCCGATGTTGTCGAAGGAGATGGTGCCCTGGAAGGGGTTGTACGGCGAGTGGCGGCACTCGGTGTAGTACTGGTTCCAGTTGACGCACCACGTGTCCGTGGGCGTCAGGTCCTTGTTGGGCTGTTGGGTCCCGTTGCACACCTTCCCGTTGTGGCGCGACGGCGGCAGGTTGGAGCAGGTGTGCATGCCGGCGTCGCCGGCCGTCGAGCAGATGTAGTCTCGCTCCTGCTCCACGTAGCGGTAGTAGTTGGAGAGGGGCCTGCAACGGAAGCTCGTCAGCGGAAGACCGGTTGGTGTCCCCCCTTCCTAGTCCCACCCGCACACACACGCCCATTGACCATCCCGGAATTGGTCTTCGCCCCTGGATGGCTGTCCGTCCGTCCGGCTGGTCCGAAAGGGGCGTTATCCAAAGAACCGCGGATTCCTGCCCTAAACATGCCCAGGGGCGCCCGGTGGGTAGCTGGGGCAACTTGCCAAATGACCCGATTTAATTGGTACCCCGATTTTTTCCAATCGCAATAAACGCAAAAATATGTCTACTTCTAATTTAAATTAACCTCTATAAGTTATTTCCAATGCATGGTGAAAATAATTCTGTTTATGTACTGGGGATGAAACTTTTGTTCATGAGGTCTCCACAGATCCGATTCCCCTAGGTTTCTTTCTTCTCTGGGCGCCCCTGGACATGCTACATTTTCCCTTGTGTTTCACCTGTTATGTCACAAAATGCTCTCCCCCTGGCTGACTATCTCCCATGATCGTTAGGACCAGTACATTAAGGATAATACTCTCCACAGGGTATGAAGGAAGTTTGAGAATTAATAAAACATATGAATTGATTTTTTGACAATTATCGCCACGTCTATTCGTCCTCCTCCTATTTCTATGAGTATGGTCCCGATGATCTCTCCCATAAATGCAAGTTTGGTATTCAGATATATAATGACGCTGATTATTCGTTTTTTTATTTTCATATATTCATTCAAAATTCTAAGTACATAGGAGGATTTCTGAAGCAAAATCTCAGAGTTATTTATTAGGCAGAGGTACGCATTCAACCACCCTTCTTATCTTTCAATAAAAATAAACTTCAGTCTGATATTTGATAGTCGATTCTCCCCTTTTTAAAATAACCTCTAATATCACAGTTTTCATTAATTATCAAAAATACCCAAGAAAACTAATGAAAATGCAGTGATATTAGGGAATTTATGACGAAAAATCTATGACAACTTTAGATTAAGGTCAGTTCAAAGCAGTCTTTAACAAAGTAAGCCTTTCTGTGCTTCTCTGAATACGACCAAAATTCCAGGAACCATCTGACCCCCTTTGGAGTTTTACAATTGTTTTAGTCGGTAATGCCTAAGTTGGTTCGGAGAACACGCAAGGACATTTCCAAGAAAAATAGTCCGAATACATGTTGTTTTATTTGGACAAATAAAGGGACTATTTCTATCGAAACAGTGTTTTAATCTGCAATTATCGTTTCTATCCAAAATTTACTTATATGTTACGTGGGAACGCATTGAAGAAACTGTCATAAAATACGGTTGAAAAATTAGCATTTGTACTGCAATCTGCCTTTTGAAACAAGTTGTAGTTATTTTGAAACGTTTATAAAAGTATTATATCCAACTCCATATTAGATTCTCTTGTCTCGATGTGTGAAGTTCCCTCAGTGTGAAGGCCATAATGCTATGAGGTTCCATTTAATATTATCAGCACATGTGGATTAAATGTAATATTTTCTATTCCAAATGCAGATAACTGGAAATAACTTAACGTGTTTCTTTTCGACAGGGTCGAAAGTTGTTTGGCTAAAACTCTTTTCTCAATTAATCATATCGTATCAACGGTAAACACAATTGAAAAAAAGGAATAAATTTTCAGGCAAAAAATAAGTTTTCTTCCACAATAAGTTTGTTATAGTTTCCTTGGGCACGCGAAAATATTTATGACCTAATTTAATAGTTAATCATCCATCATAGGGTCCATTCGTCAAATCCTATCCCAAATTTAACCCTTTTTACGATCTCAGAATTTAGCCTTCTCACTTTTTAACAACTTGTAACACTTCATAATACCTTCTAAGAAGAATGTTTTATTTCAAACCGTCCTTCTATCTCACTTTTTGTATTCAATAAAAGTGACTTAATTACATATGAGGCATAATTTCATTCATATTTTAAAATATATTTTCGCAATTTAATCACACATAGTTTAATCACATGCCATTTAATTTGTGATTTACTTTAATATTTATGTAGTGTAAATGTAATAATATATTTATCCCAAACTTTTTGTGAGGACGTTCATTTTTTGTGAGGACGTTCATTTTATCAACCATCTCTGCTTTGTTCGCTTTTCTCACAGCTGAGTAAGCCTCATAAGTTTTCTGAAAGCGAACGAATAGCCACTCACTAAGTTTGCATATTGTACCTGATAGCTTTGCCATGCATCTGTATATATTCTGTTATTTCATTTTATGCAACGTTCACTTGCAGGAACATTCCGTTGCACCTGAACGGATAAGTTACTAGCAAAAATCAGGTAGTTTGCGATCATTTATTACGTCTTTCTTTATACAAATGCATTACAAATCCTATCTTCTACTAGTCACTGCAAGATTTTGCAGGTAAATTTTAACATACTCAGACGTTTCAAATTTTATTTTGATTTTTGTAATGATCATGATCATGTAGATACTCTTCTAATCTGGACAGTATATCTCTTTAAAATATTTTTTATATTATTTTCCGCTTTCTAAACTATTTAACTGATAAATTTTCAGTAAATACTAAAAGGACCTCCCAACACAGAATTGTATTTGAATGACTCATTTCAAACAACACTTTAGCGGGATTTATTAAATATGTATTTAAAATAACAATAATTAAAACTTCTTAATTAATTATTCTAATTTTTTTATACATATAGAAATAATATACTCTATAAAATAATAAGAGGACTCTCCAAATAATTTATTTCATCAACGTATGCATCTCATTCTTATACCCGTCCTATATTCACACAAAAAAACAGTGCTAGCAAATTTTATGAGTTTGGTTTATGTCCTCTGAAAACAACACTCACAAACAAGCAAAGGTCTTCAGAGAAACGAAAAGCAATAAACATCACGTCATGACGCGCACCCTATTCAACGTAAAAGCTCCAAGCGTGTATTCAACTTTATTTTCCGTTTCCAAAGTATCTTGACACTGTGACTCGGCCTCAAAGCCAGAGAGAACAAAAGCTCGACGGCCATTTGAAGAAAGCTGCGTGAAATGTCGTTGATTCAAGATATTCGAAAGAAAAAAAAGGAGGCGAAACATTGCGTCTAGCCTTCAAAGAAGCTGTCAACGAGAGCACTTGTTTTCAACGAAGAAGAAGTGGGCGTGGCCGGCCCTCTTACGAAGGCTCCCCCCCCGCCCCACCTTTCGTGAAGGGCGGCTCTAATTTTTCAACCAACCAACCGAGCAAGGAAAGGCATCCTTCAAACCGTAGGTTCCCCTATATTTCAAAGCCTTTGCGTGCCGAAGTTACTTTCCGCTAACGATCGCACTTTTGCCGATGGAACCTCGTCGCGCTACTCTGCCACGCCAAAGTTTATAACGGAATATTGCCACAAATATCTCGTTAACTCGACGAAGCAGCTGATTGGTCTCTGTTATTGAAATTAATGAACTCATAGTTCACTGCAAGTTTTGATTGGAATTTTTTTCTCTGTCCGTAAAAAAAAGTACCGGGAGTTAAATCAAGATTAAATCTGGTTGGTTCTTCATGGAACTGTCACGGGAATTCTTTTGGCGTCATTACTCGGTGTCTACACGAGTTTACATGTAAGATGCTATTGATATTATTTTAAATATTTGTATGTCCGTTACTGAACGTGAAGGCCCAGAATAGTAAATGGGCGGAGTATTTTTAAAAAACTGGTTATAATCATAATAATTTCCTGAACCTGTCTCGCCTGTCTTTGCAGAGGAAATTACGGCATAATAGGACAATGAATTGAAAGGAAAGAAAGATTCTCAGAAGACTCCTTGAGTTCAAAGGTTAAGTTGTCTCAGGGCGGGAGCAGTAGAGCTCTCAAGGGGATCGCGGTGGTTGAAGATCACAATTAATGGACCTTAGCAGAAGCAGGCATTGTGCCTTCTTGATCCTATTGATTTAAATTCGAAGAGATTGTTATTTCTCCGCAAGGGTCAAGTATTCTTGGCTCACAAGGATGTTTGTAACATTCTTTCTCCCCAATTACATTTTAGAAATTCAATTAAACCATAAACAAAACTAAATATTTTCTTATCATTATATTTTGATATAATCTTTTCCTCAGGTATTCCTTGAGTTTTCCGCTTCGTGGACAGGTTTCATTTCTCAACATTTCGTTGTAAACACAACTATTAACTTTCTCTTAAATATTACTATCAACTAATTTATATTTTCATAAACATGAAAGAAAACAATTATGCTCGGAAACGCTCATTCCCTAGATGAAAAATAGATTAGCTTTAGAAATACTGAAATGGTCAAGATTGCCCCACTTTGGGTTCCAAACGTTTGCCCAGGATTTCTATAATTTTGTTTCTTAGAACGATTATGAGCATTATTTTCGGTAGTACATATAGTACAGACATGTGGTTTTACAATTATGTATTTCAATGTTACAATTTCGAGTACACAATATTCCATATACACAAAATTCGTCGTTCTATGTACTTCCTATTACTCGTATGAGTCTGAATAGTTGTGGTTACATATAACGTTGCACGAGCACCGAAAAACACAAGTTTCATAACTCACATTTTCATTGTTTCTAAATGTTTAGTGTTTTTCTCAAGTGGTTACAAAAATACAATAATTAATTATTTAATATTTGTGTTTAGAATATTTTAACCTATTATTGTCAATACTGTTTAATTCTAAACTGTTATCTTTTAGTTTTTTACAATACCTACCATAAAGTCGAACATATGAGCCTTTTAATGCGAATGTAATGTAACTACATTTTTCCTATTTTTCGTTTCTTGCCTCTACGAAGGTACTTCGTAAGAAGAGAAAGTTGTGTAATAGTGCGCCGGAAATCTGCAAATTTTCCGCAGAAGAATCTTATTGACGGGCCGAGATAACAGAAATGTGGATAAATCCAGTTGCTAAATGGAAACAATTCCTCTAACACGTGGTGTGGCCAGATTCCATGTTTTGTGAGTCCATAATTCTGAAAAACCGTTTGATTACAAAACCGTTCATACATCCCGT